TAAACTTATACGTTTTTAGAACTGTCCCTAAGTAGGAACACTAAAGAATAATGAACTAACAATATAAACCATAAAGCAGAGATTTACTTAAATCATACTTGATTTCGCAATCATAAAGTACATGATCTATGTTTTATGAGCTTTATTTTATCATCAGATTGCAGTAAGTAAATAATGATTCTGATTTTATTTCTTTCACAGAAAAAGCATGAATGATTGGAAATACAAATTCCGGGGAGTTCATGAAAATTTAATTTCACCCGTCTGAAAATAAAACTCTAAAAAGTAATTTAAAATTTAGCTTCGTAATTGTTTAATATGTTTGAGCAAACTTTGTATACTTGTTAAATATGTTTGTTTTATTTGTTATTATTTTGATTCCACCTTTTACTCTTTTCTAGGTCGAAAATTTCGTTTATCATCTAAAGTAAAACATCGAATGTCTTGCCGTATCAACCATCTCCTGAGGTCAATACTCTAAATTAAACTGATAAGTACAATATGGCAAATCTTTCGGTGAAGATCTTGCCGACAAAGTCAAATAAACGCGTGATTTCATTTCAACTTTACCAACAAAAACAACAGAATATATTTATGATATTAAAAAAAATATATGTATTTACTCTTGATCCTTCTTTATCACGTTTTATTTAATCAGCCCGCATGCTCATGGCTGTTTGTAAGGAGTAAATCATGTAATCAAAATTATAAGGCTTTTATGACTAGCTAGAGTGCTCAAATTCCAATTGAAGCTACTAGATAATAATACAAGCTTAAATAATTTTCTTGACGGTTAAGAGTAAAATTTTTTGCTATTTTGTTGTCAAATAATATTTATTGCCTCTCTGAATTTTTGCCACATTGCGATCGAAATTTTGACCACATTTTGACTTAAAATGAACAGACACAAATTAAAACTCAGAAAAAAATGAAATTCATTTTTTTTATAAAAAATAATGAGGTTTCTAAGCGTACTAGAAGGTAAACAATAAGTCTTGTATTCAAAACGAAAAACATAGGGCGTATCACTATCGAAATTAACTTCAATTATCATTTAAAATTCTCTCATGACTTTTTAAAAATATACTCCCTTTTTTTCCTTGAGTATAGGAAAATTAAATTATTTTCCCCTTTTTAAGTTTTTTGAAAAAATGTGGTTATTAGAAACATTTTAACTTTATTTTTGTGTTAAAATCATAGAATGATGGTAATTGGTTCCATTTTACTTAACCATTCAATGAATCTTTTATTTATTTATTTTTTTGGCCTTTTTGTAACTAAAGTAGAATTGTCCAAATTCCTCAAGAGGAGGCACGTGAAATTCGCAGTTATGGTAAAAAAGAAATTTATTTTAAATTTTTATTTGATTAAATTTAACTAAAACCTTCCTTTTATACAAAAGTTGAGAATATTTTGCTATATTGGTGTGCTTGATGAACGTAAATAATTCAAACATTTTATCGAACTATAGCGAGAAGAGATTATAATCTATGAATAAAACGATCATTGTATAGCAAATTCTAACAATACTTTTATATAGTTTTATTTACCTTCAAATAGCAAAATTAATGTCGTATAAACTACGAATTGAAAATCCTGATTTGTTGCCTAGAAGTTCAAGAAATATTTTTTTTAAAAAAACTCTGGCTCTAAAATAAGTTCAGTATTTGTTTTCTTTCAAACTCAAAACAAATTCCAAATTTAACTCAAAATGTTTGAAATACATTTTGTTTAGTTTGAAATAAATTTAACTATAATAGTGAGAAATTCAGTTTAACTAAAATATAGGGGGATTATATGTTAGATTGCCGTTGTTTTTTCAAATCGAAATAAAAGTACTAAGAATAAAGATACAAGAAATATTTATACTTATTTTAAATTTCCATACTTTAGTTTGAACAAAAAATAATGGAATATCGAGAACAAAATCGAAGAATTGTTTAAAATTAAACTACCATCTCTCTTTAACGTTGAGGTGAGACGGTTAGAAATCAAATAAAGTAAAGGAAAAGAGAAGTTAAAATATGGAAAATAACGCATTTCATACGCATATCATGAAAAAGTTACAATAAACTGAAAGAAATAATTTTATCTTACAAAATAAATAAAAAGAATCTAATAAACAAAAATCTAACGTGCAGATTTAATCAATCACTTTAAAATATATTTTATATTTACACTGTGTGCATATTTACAAAGAATGAATATTATTAATATATTTTGAGAAATATATTAATTTCATGCATCACGTGCTAGAAAAACCAGGGAATCGCTCCACAGTGCATTCTTCAAACACGTGGTGTGGTGTGCAAACATCCGATGTTTTGACTGCCCAGACCATCAATCCGTCGCCACCATAACGGTTGAGCAAGTTTCCGGATCTCTCATAATAAAGGTATGAACCAGGGACCTACTACCTGATACCAGGGACATACTTGCAGTTACAATGGGTGGAAAAAATATCGGTTTATACTAGGAAATAATGGAAAAGAAATTTTTAAAATTGCTAGTTTTTATTTATAAAAGTTTAAATTGGCCTTCAAAGTCATGCATGTTAATAATTTGATTAATTATTTTGTAGACTTTTTAACTTTTTTTTGCCTAATCTTTCAATCCTTAATAGTATATTTTAAAAACAATGCTTAGCTTTATGCCATTTTATTTAAATAATAATTTTAAATTCCCAATATTTCTAAAATTCTGGGTTTAATACCCAAAACTCCAGGGATTTTTCCATTTATTCAAAAACTGAAGAGTTATAGCATCACTACATGCCCACCAATTTCCGAGAAATCTGTCATTATAGCAGCAAATGCTTGATGATCAAGATAGGTTGTATATTTGATGGCAGCTCACTCGTCCATGCTTTTGAAAAACAAATTGTGACAGGTGAAAGTAGAGGGAGAGATCTTGAAAGCATATACCCTTATTTCATTTTTGCAAACAACGCTCGGTCACTTAGAACAGATCTAGGTAGGTTGCATATTTGATGGCAGCTCACTCGTCCATGCTTTTGAAAAACAAATTGTGACTGGTGAAAGTATAGGGAGAGATCTTGAAAGCATGTACCCTTATTTCATTTTTGCAAACAACGCTCGGCCACTTAGAACTCATCTTATTGCCGGTTTTTACGTTTAATTTAAGACATTTTTAGGATTGAATGACCATCCAAATCTTCAGGCTTTATTCATACTGGAGCTAGCGTGTGAATTATAACTGTTGAAAGGTATCTTTTAATCCATAAATCTATATGCATAAAAAATTTAATTCAAAATGGTGCTGTAGTTCAAGAGATGACGCAAAATCTGAAAATTCTCTTATTTTTGAACACCAGTGTATATTGTATACATTACGAAAGTATGTCTATATATCAATGTATGAAAAATACAATGAAAAAGATTAATATAAAAGAAACGGTATTGTCATGTTATACGGAAAAAAAATTCCGGAAATCCATCAATAGAAACTTTAGTAAAGGCTTTATAACTTTCTATGGCATAAGAAAACTAGATGTTCATTAGCAACCGGCAGAGATCGAACCTTGGACCTCAAGAGCTGTAATAAGTTGTTCCAAAGTTAATTTTATTGAACTTAGTATTTACGAATTATGATACAAAACGAAAACATAAGAAGAGTAAGTTGGCATAATTTATTTCATTTTAATGTGATAGTTATAAGTCAAGTTGCAAAGCTCCCAATAACTATAATTTTTAAAATTGTAAAAAAGTATTAAAAATAGTGAAATCATTAGAAAATTATGATTGACACACTTTCTTATAAAAAAAAATTTTTTTTCTCTTTCATGAAATCTAAATTTTTCCCTCTTCAGAGCCTTTCAGGCACTGTTCTATATTTCCGCAACTGCTAGTATCGTTCCTAATTAGCTATCAAATGTTGAACTGCAGCCAGTTCGAACTTAATTAAACTTACGAAAATTTCTTGAACACAATAAAACGTTTAAAAAAAACCAGAACTGTATCAAAGTATTTAATCGATGTATTAAGGTGTAGGTGGAAAAAGATAAATAAAAAGCTCAACAAATGATTTGTCGATAATTTCTGAAAATAAAAAACCTTTAATCGTTAGGAATCAATATGTTTGCTAGGAATATATATTTAAAAAAGGTTAAAATATTTTTAGAAGTTCAGAAATTTTTAATCTAATCCCGAATTACTTAACTTCAATTTAGTTTATAATTTAAAATTTTAATTGCTAATTTTTTTTCTTTTTATGTGGTAAACAAAGTTGCAAAGTTGCAACACCTATACAATAGGTCTCAATATTTCTGAAATAGTTTTTTTTTAAAAAAACGATTCGTAATATCTATTTTTTGTAAAACGATTCATAATATCTATTTCTTTGGAATATCAGTATGCAAACGTCTCCGATTAATATAATGTTATTTTGTGTCCATTGACATTTCTGTCAATGTACCTTGAGTCTATATCAATATACCTTATATTTTTAATACAGAATAATTTTTATTAAAAGCTGTATATACTGCAATCAAGAACTGAAAGTCGTAAGAGATATAGTGGCCGGGATATTTACATGCCACAGGAAGTGATTTAAACTAAATATATTTAAGATTTAAAAAAAAAAACAGCATAGTTTTTAAAAATTGTTATAATAAGTAGAAATTCATTATTCCGTTAATGTTCAGAAGGCACATTAGTAAAAACTGTAAAAATATCATTAACATTGATCATAACAATCAAAATTTAAACGGAAAAAATACAGCTCTTTTTACTACTAAGAAATATACAATAAATAAATAAAATCAAAGACAACTTTTCAATTTTAGACAATTTACGAATTTTCTAAAATCATAAATAAGATGAGAAATAGGACCTAAACAGGTAAACAATTAATGAATACTTTTTTATAACATCTGTCTGAACAGAAATTAAATTTCAGTAAAAGATGTTAAAAAAAAATAATGCTAACCACAGTTGAGTTAATTTTCAGTTACAAATTAACACAATAATGAAAGAAATTACCATATTTTTCAGAGTCGCTACCATTTTGACAGCAAAATTTCTCAAAAGGCAAGTGGTTTAAAGGAATTACAGAGACAAAATGAAAGAGTGTTTATCGCGTTCTACAAAACCGAAAATGCCAAGCTATGAAAAAAATCTACGCTAGTATCATCTTCTTTACTCATTGGCGACGATCCAGGTCGTCGACACGTGTTTATCACAAAACTTATTAAATGATTTGATGTCGGTGGAGTTCTCAGAATATTCTTCATTTCCTACTGTGAAATTTCATAAGAATTTGTAACTGTACAAACAATTCACCTTATAATTTTGCTAATCTTATTACTGTTTAAACTTATGAGGACATAAAAATGTCCTCCTTGATCATAAGTTTTCCATAACAAATTAACCAGTATGAATAAACTCTCGAATAAATCACATTAAAAATAAGCAAAAAGGATTTTAGTCGACATTTTTGAAGTCATGAGATGAGATACCACTTGTTTGAAATTTTATTATTTTATTGAATTTGTTGGAATCGCAAATCTAATATGAAATGATTTCATATTTTTTTTTGTAAATAAATAAGTTTAATATTATACACTATTGTGCTGCTGTTAATTCAAAACATTTTTTTTAGTAGCTCTCAAAACCAGAGGAGTCGCAGTCTGTAAAAATTTAAAAAGTAGTCACATCTGTTTTATGAGATCATTGAAAATTTAAGGAAATTAGTTGGTCAATTGCAACACAGATTTTTAAATTGCAAATATTTTTGGTCGGTAGTAATAAAAACATTTTGTTTCCTTGATCTTTTTCTGACAGTTTTTAAATTTTTTTGAAAAGTGGCTACCCTGAAAATATTTGTTTCTTCTAAAAATATATAGAATATTAATAAAATAAAAAAAATATATAGAAATTTGCAAATTAAATGAAAATATTTTTTTCTCTAATTCACGAATAAAATAAATTATTTGTATTTCACAAAGTAAAAAATAGAGTTCAAAAGCGTTTACTTTCTGTTTTTGTCCGAAGCGTGGAGGTAGCAGGTTCGAATCTCGCTATAACGAATCTCGCTAATATAATAAATATCTCATTTTCAACTCGGCAATTGTTGTTGTTGTTAATTTACGTCGCACTAGAGCTGCACAATGGGCTATTGGCGACGGTCTGGGAAACATCCCGGAGGATGATCCGAANCTTTAATGAACGTAGAACAAGTATTGCATTGCTTTATATTTTTTAAATGACTCATAATAATTTTAAAGAGCAAAACATTTTTTTAATTCAATATTTTTACTTTATTTAAGGCATTTTTTGCGCAATTTTTGGATTTTTAAGGGCATTTTTTGCCCTTTTTAAAAGCATTTTTTGCACTTTTTAAGAGCATTAGTTGAGATTTTTTAGGTCATCAAAATCCGGGCTCTAATAATAAATATCTCATTTTCAACTCGACAAAGATTTATGAACCGTTTTGCTTTTTATTGCGCATACAAACCTGCTTATGTGATTAAACAAATAAATGCTCTTTCTTTAGTTTGCAGCCTCACAAATGGATGAATTGTCCTCTCTGAGTTTGAATCCTATCGCAACTCTGGATATATCTTTGAAATACCCTTCTTCAACTTAAGTTAGAGAAATGTGTTATCAATTGTATTATCTGTTCTTCAGCTTGAAACGAGCTTATAAGCTGTACTTTGTATGTAAGAAGCATTCAAGTCTGTTGTTGTTGTTGTTACTTTACGTCGCACTAGAGCTGCACAATGGGCTATTGGCGACGGTCTGGGAAACATCCCGGAGGATGATCCGAAGACATGCCATCACAATTTTGATCCTCTGAGGAAGGGATGGCACTCCCGCTTCGGTAGCCCGACGACCTGCGCGCGAAGTCGAGCACTTTACGGTAGCACAGTTTAACGAGGACCAATACCGCACACCCTCGGTCCCTACGCAGACTGATCCAAGTGGTCACCCACCCGCACACTGACCGTAGCCAGTGATGCTTGACTTCGGTGATCTGCTGGGAACCGTGTCTTAACGATCAGTCCACTGCGGGACCATTCAAGTCTGCATATGTATGAGTAACAATGAATAAATAATAAATATATCTTTGTATACACACAGTGGATTGATCGTAAGACACGGTACCTAGAAAAACACCGAAGTCATACATCACTGGCTGTGGTCAGTGTGTGGGTGGATGACCACTTAGATCAGGCTACGAAGGGACCGTGGGTGTGCGGTATCGGTCCTCGTTAAACTGTTCTATCGTAAAGTACTCGACTTTGCGAGCACGCAACACCTTCTAGAAGAGAGAAGGCCGTAGCACGGATTAATTTAGTAGCCCGACGTAACGAACATAAACTGCACAGTTGTTAAAAAATACGAAAGATGCCATTACGTTTGGACTACTAAAAGATCAACTTTCTTGTTTATGGTAACCCGTGCTAAGGCCTTCTTTTTTCTGGGAGGTATTAGCGCAAGTCGTTGGACAACCAAATTGGAGGAACCATACCCCTACGCAGAGGATCAAAATTGTGATGGCATGTCTTCGGATCATCCTCAGGAATGTTTGCCAGACCGTCGCCAATAGCCCATTGTGCAGTTCTAGTGCGACGTAAATTAACAACNGTGATGGCATGTCTTCGGATCATCCTCTGGGATGTTTCCCAGACCGTCGCCAATAGCCCATTGTTCAGCTCTAGTACGACGTAAATTAACAACAACAAGTTCTAGTGCAACGTAAATAAACAGCTCAGAACAAACAAAGTAAACGCGAAGAGAGTTTCGTCAGATTCCAGAATCGAACCGACTTCCAACTTTGAGCAGCTTGAGAGCGCGAGACAACGGGCTCTTAAAGTATCCGACTGGCTTCATCATTTTCTTTAAAAAAAAATTTTTTTTTTAATTTTATGTTTGGCAAACACGGGTCTTAAAATTGTAAATTTAAAGTAAGGTTTAAAAACTCATAAAATAGTTTTCAAAATAAGGGCAGATTTGAGCGCAAAAACTACAAATTATTTATATCACGCTAACAGCTCTACAACAAACTGTTATGCATTAATTTCAAAATATTTTTTTTTCTAGATCAATAATGTGATTTCTTGTAATTTGAACAAAATCCTTAAAAATGTTTCAAAGAGGCAATGAAATAGAACTAAATATGTTGTTTATTGAATTTTTAAATAAAAATTCTAACTATTCTTACTTAAGTAGTGATAAAAATAACAAATTCAGACTTACACTTTAGATTTAAGCTGAAAACATCACTAACATTATACACAATATACATACAGAATTTCAAGCAATTCTATTATGAACTTTTTTTTTAATGTGCTTTAATGTAAAGCAATTTTCTCAAAATCAGCGTTCAACAGAAAATACATCTAAAATGCAAGAAAATTTCGAAAGGCAAAAAAATTTTGACAACAAAAAAATTATAATTCGAAAAATAGTTTTTGAAAATGAATTTCATTATATCCTAAAAATATAATTTATTATAATTGAAAAAAGTTAAAATACTCAAAGCATAGGAAAAATAATTTAGTTTCGTTTTCGTGCGTTTACTTCCGGTTTCGTCTGTCAGCACATGAAAAACAACTATAACTTCATTTCTAAAAATCGGAGTACAAAAATTAAAGGGTTTTGGAAAACTAATGAGCTGTTTTCAAATATGGATAATTAAAAATAAAATAAAAAAAATCTAATTTTTCATCGAAATTGCCGATTTTCACCCAGTCGGATGCCTTAAGAAGAAATATTATTGAAAATTTCAAAAGAAAGTGTCTACACACAGATAGAAAAAAGAAGAAAAAATATTTTTATGAATTGCTTGGAGACTGTGCAGTTGCAGGCTTGTTCCACAAAAATCACTGATGAACCTCAGCGGTAACAAGCTAATGGTATACTACTTTTGTTAACCCTTTGACGCAGAATTTTTATTAAACATATTTTTCCTTGTTTTGTATTAATTTAGGTCAAAATAAGTGAAAAATATTATATTTTGCATTTTAATTTATGATTATGAAATACAGCATAAAACACACCAGTGTATTTTTGTGCGTTAAAGGTAAAATCTTCCAAAAAAGGCTCACTTCCAAAAAAAATTTTTAAAGTTGCACTTGTTTGTAGTTATTTACATCCAAGAGAACCAGTTATACATCATTGAAATTTTTTAAATTTATAAACTTTTTAATATGAATAATAAAAAAGAAATTTCAACCATTTTTTGGGGGGATTTTATTTTAGCTCAAATATAATTCCGATAATCTAACAGATTTTTTAGTAATTATTAAACTGTTCTTTTATAATTAAAAAATACCAAAATATATTTTTACTTACTATTGGAGCGTCAGAAAAAAATATATAAAGGGACTCCGGCGTCCTATCAGCGTCAAATGGTTAAAGTATAGGACCAACTTCAATAACAAACTGTGGATATATAAAACTTTTTGCGCTTTGGATGAATAAATAAGAAAACATATTTTGTAAAGGATAGCCCTCTTTAAAAAATACTAACTTATTTAGTAACTTACAAAAATTAAGATTATTTTTTTAATACATTGCTAAATATGCCGAATCTCAATTGCACAGTGTATATCCAACCTTAAGTTTGAGATTCAGATTATGATATTAAAATAATCAACCATAGTAACATTTCTTAGAGTAATAAAAAATTATATTTAATGGTACATATTTATAATATTATTTTTATTAATAGTATGTATAAAAAGGGAAAAGGGGAAAGCTCTGCGTCGTTATCTACAACCTGTGATATCCATGGTTCAAACATAACCGTTCATAAACAGTTGAAAAAGTTTGATTGGTTTAAAGGCCAGAGAGCTTATATCCCTTTTCTCTCTCTATGTGTAAACTAACGATTTGATGTTATAATATCTTGACGGTATTATAAGTAAATAAATTTTATTTATAATAAAAAAATATTATATAGCTAATTTGCTTTTATATGAAATGTGCATTGGAAAATTAAGCAAAAAATTGCTCCTATAGGCAGACACGCCCATCGGCATGAAATGGATATGATCCCTAGGTTTCTGAAAATCCCGAATGGTGCATTTGTGAATTTTTAATTTATAAATGTTTTTTTTTTCTTATGTAATTATTTTAATTATTGAAAAATAGCTATCATCAAATAAAGTGTTGTGAAATCACAGTTAAATTATGAATTAAATTGCTCGAAAACTCTCCAGTTAAACAAATAATGCAATTGAAAAGTTTCAGCGATTTAAAGTATACTCCGGTTTTAAGAACGATATATTTAAGAAATATACTTTTCATATTTTCATGCACGAAAGTTAATTTTCAAAAATCTTCCATTTACTAAAAGTACTAGTTTTCATGTTAAGGATC